CACACATGGAGTACTACAAGACACTATCCTTGGACTCATCCTGTTTATAATCTACATAAAACAACATATACCAATACCTAACCTAACCAAGCCCAACCAAAACCGAACCAAAACCCAACCTAACCAAATCACAACTACTCTGGGGAACTGTCAACAAAGGCTAAAGACCAAGACGTTGTGACAGACCAATCACCGACAGAGGCGCAGCAGGAGGGAGCAGTCGTAAAGAAACCTAATTTACCTGTACGTCCGTCATCAGTCATACACAGACCGTCGACTTACTGGGGGGCCGTGAACACCTGTAGGTACGAGAGAGAGAGAGAGAGGGAGAGAGAGAGGGAGAGAGAGAGATAGATGGAGAGAGATAGATAGATGGAGAGAGATGGATAGATAAACAGACAGACAAATACACTGCCCACCATTATATAAACCGTATTCATCGTGTACCGTAAGTCAAGGTTCCTAGTAAGGGATAAACTGGCGGACGAGAGCTCGAACTTTCGCCAGACTTTACTGCGCCAGGCTCTAACTTTTTGTGCCTTGAGGTAATTGAGGGAGATTCGATCGCAAGAATTTAAGAAGTTTGGGTCTGATTTTTTCTTTCGTGTGTATTTTAATGTATGTATGTATGTATGTATGTATGTATGTATGTATGTATGTATGTATATATGTATGTATGTATGTATGTACTGTATATATGTATGTATGTATGTATGTATGTATGTATGTATGTACTGTATATATGTATGTATGTATGTATGTATGTATGTATGTATGTATATATGTATGTATGTATGTATGTACTGTATGTACTGTATATATGTATGTATGTATGTATGTATGTATGTATGTATGTATGTATGTACGTATGTTAAAATAAAAATAAAAACTTTGATGATTTAGGTCGCTTAAATCGGGTTGACCTGAATGGCTTATCCAGACCAATTAAATCTAAGGTCGGAACGTAAATGATTTCCCATTGGTTGTATAATACCGTGGTTAAATTAATTGGTGACTATCCGGATAACGAGTAAGATGTTGGAGGAGGGGGATGAGAGAGAGAGAGAGAGAGAGGGGGATCACCAAAACACACCCACACTACCTCACCACACCACCACCCCACCCAGAATACATTAACCTGTTGTATTTTAGGGGGATCTTTTAGTATACATTACCATACTTATGTTAAAATCCCCTTGAGGAAGATGTGTGTAATGCAGCCTAATTAATTATACAACACGAAAAAATAACTTGTATACTGGGAAAAAAAAATATCTTATAGAATTATGAGAGGGGTTGTGTGTTTATAAAGTCCCTTGATGTTTGTGTTTATAAAGTCCCTTGATGTTTGTGTTATAAAGTCCCTTGATGTTTGTGTTTATAAAGTCCCTTGATGTTTGTGTTTATAAAGTCCTTGATGTTTGTGTTTATAAAGTTCCTTGATGTTTGTGTTTATAAAGTCCCTTGATGTTTGTGTTTATAAAGTTCCTTGATGTTTGTGTTTATAAAGTCCTTGATGTTTGTGTTTATAAAGTTCTTGATGTTTGTGTTTATAAAGTCCCTTGATGTTTGTGTTTATAAAGTCCGATGTTTGTGTTTATAAAGTCCTTGATGTTTGTGTTTATAAAGTCCCTTGATGTTTGTGTTTATAAAGTCCCTTGATGTTTGTGTTTATAAAGTTCCTTGATGTTTGTGTTTATAAAGTCCCTTGATGTTTGTGTTTATAAAGTTCCTTGATGTTTGTGTTTATAAAGTCCCTTGATGTTTGTGTTTATAAAGTTCCTTGATGTTTGTGTTTATAAAGTCCCTTGATGTTTGTGTTTATAAAGTCCCTTGATGTTTGTGTTTATAAAGTCCCTTGATGTTTGTGTTTATAAAGTTCCTTGATGTTTGTGTTTATAAAGTCCCTTGATGTTTGTTTTATAAAGTCCCTTGATGTTTGTGTTTATAAAGTCCCTTGATGTTTGTGTTTATAAAGTTCTTATGTTTGTGTTTATAAAGTCCCTTGATGTTTGTGTTTAAAGTCCCTTGATGTTTGTGTTTATAAAGTTCCTTGATGTTTGTGTTTATAAAGTTCCTTGATGTTTGTGTTTACAGAGTCCCTTGATGTTTGTCAACGCCTCGAGATAAGGTAAAGTCTGAGTGTTAATTTTGTTAATGATGTTAAGTTAACGTATCTAGTAACTAGTTAGGGTAGAAACACAAGGTTAACATCAAGTATAGTTTATTTTTAACATATTTTAGCATTACTTTACGAGTTTATAAATGAGAACTTTATGTTAATATATATTGGAGATCTTTTTAACATGTTGAATATAATTGTTAGTATAGTGAAGATGTTTTTAAGATGTTAACTTTGAAGAATATGTTAGTTTACATGTGAGATCATTTTAACATTTTTAACTAACTGTTGTGGATCAGTTTATACATGAGATTATTTTTAACATTTTAACTTCAGGACGATATGTGTTAAAATGAGATAATTTCATTCTAACCTATTAACATTATACATAGACATGACTCTTTAGATATGTTATATAAACTGGATTAACATAAATATAATGTCATGTTAACATGTTAATATCATATTATTAACAGAGATGAGATCATTTTTAACATATTAACATCATACAGATTCTACGGTATTAACATAGATACAAAACTATTTTAACATTAACAAAATGATTGAACCTTTTGTTAGAATATAAATCACACCATTTTAACATGTTGTAATTAAAAACTGTGTTAATATAGAACTAAGACTATATTAACATGTTAAATGAATATATTAACTCAAATAAGACAATATTAACATTGATAAATTTCTCCTCTTATATGAGATCAAATTAACATGTTAACTTTAGGTAGTATTTCGGTGGGTTAAAAGACTTAAAACACACTAGTGAACATTGGACATATAGTAACATGGTAATATTAACATTATATACAGTACATAATAAAACTATCTGGTGAAGGTTTGTCTTCAAGTGTGTTAAAAATGTTAATATTTTATATGGTTATGGAATAATAATAATAATAATAATGATGATGATAATTGTTGTTGTTATTATTATTGTCATCATCATCATTATTATTATTATTATTATTATTATTGTTGTTGTGTTTATTTGATTGTCAACTAGTTATTACCATGCTGTTTATATACGCACATTATGACGTATTTGTAGCGTTGTATTACGTCATAAACACGTCATTAAAGTCGTCAGAGTATCGGAGGCTTATTGGAGATGACGTCATTGAGTTAACGTCAACAAAGCCTGTGATTGGTGGTGTGAGAAATGACGTCATTACAGCCTCTTGTTGTATGACGTCATTAATTATCCTCTAACACCTGTTTCTTCGCCAGTGGACTCGGTCACAACACAATGCCTGACGAACGTACGCCAGTCTTGTGCTTACAGTGGCATTGTCTGAGGGTAGGAACATCAATCTTACCTTCAGAACTTACGCCAGACGATCATTCACTAGTCTTATGCCTGCAGGGGCGACCATTAACGCCAGGGGTGATGTCCAGCAGGGCATTAGAGAGAGCTGGTGTGTGTGTCGGTGAGGGTGGGGGTGAGGGTGGAGGTGAGGGCGGAGGAGCCATTAGGGAGGACAGTGGTAGTGGTGGTGGTGGGTGGTGAGGGATGGAGGAGGTGGGTGGTAGTGGGTGGTGAGTGTTGGGTGTAGGTGGGTGGTGAGGATGGTAGTGGTGGGTGGTAGTGGGTGGTGAGTCGTAGTGGTGAGTGGTGGGTGGTGAGGGTGGTGGTGGGTGGTAGTGGTGGGTGGTGAGTCGTGGTGGTGAGTGGTGAGTGGGTGGTGAGTCGTGGTGGTGGGTGGTAGTGGCGGTGGTGAGTCGTGGTGGGAGTGGTGGTGGGTGGTGAGTCGTAGTGGTGGGTGTGGTAGTGGTGGGTGGTGAGTCGTAGTGGTGGGTGGTAGTGGTGGTGGTGAGGTGTGGTGGTGAGTGGTGAGTGGGTGGTGAGTCGTGGTGGTGGGTGGTAGTGGTGGGTGTGAGTGTGGTGGTGAGTGGTAGTGGGTGGTGAGTCGTGGTGGTGGGTGGTAGTGGTGGGTGGTGAGGTGTGGTGGTGAGTGGTAGTGGTGGTGAGTCGTGGTGGTGGTGGTAGTGGGTGGTGGTCGTGGTGGTGAGTGGTAGTGGTGGGTGGTGAGTCGTGGTGGTGGTAGTGGTGAGGGTGGGCGTGGGGTGGTGACAGTGACAAATGCCTCTGCTGTAGGGTAGTGTTGTGATGCTGAAGGTGGTGACTTAGAGAGGAACACCGCTCACCATCACCCTGACGAAGATGTATCCATTCTTGGTGGTGATGATCGGCAGTGGTGGGGACCTTCATCGTCGCCGTCTGGTTAATAAACGTACCGCCCCCCACACTCCTGAAGCTACTGCCGTTGCCGCTACGGAAGGAATGAAGCTGGGATCGACTACTGCGTCTCTGGCACCCAAACGTCTGCTTAAAACTCTGGATAAAATTAGCATTCATGAAGCAGTAGGTGATGGGGTTACAACAGGAGGAGAGATACGCCAGCAGCTGCACCAATGACACAGAAGCTGCCCAGGGCGGCGTATACCTGACGGGGAATGTAAAGTGACAACAGATTGACGATAAACAGAGGGGACCAACAGATGAAGAACTCCGCCACTAATACAAACAACATCCTCACTACACGCCGTTTGGCCATTAGGCTCCGTTCACTGTGGGAGGATCTCAAATGGCGCCATTGTGTAGGTTCCTCACGCTCTACTTCGTCAGGTCCCCAGCGGTGTTTCTTCGATGGCTTCTTCTTCTTCTTCTTCGTCGGGGGTAATGTGTCCAGGGGCTTGGTGGGTGGTGTCTCCAAATCTCCGTTGAAGGATTTTTTCTGATGGCGCTGTCGGGTATCCTGCAGGAGGGAAAGGACGGGTTCTTTCCCCTCTACGCCTCCTCCTCCTCCTCCTCCTCCTTCCTCCTCCTCCTCCTCCTCCTCCTCCTCCTCCTCCTCCTCCTCCTTCACCTTCTTCTCCTCTTCCTCCTCTTCTTTGTGACATGGTTGGGATTTTCCGGAACCTGTGGAGGAGAAAGGGTAGGTTAGGTCAGGGTAGGTTATGTTTGGTCAGGGCAGTTATGTTAGGTCAGGTCAGGTTAGGTCAGGTCAGGTAGGTTAGGTTAGGTTAGGGTGGGCGGTCAACACCTATACTGGTAGACTCTACCTACCTGATAAAGGTATACTGGTCTTATTACACACACACACACACACACACACACACACACACACACACACACACACACACACACACACACACACACACACACACACACACACACACACACACACACACACACACACAGTAATACATTGTGTCTGTATTTTAAATGTGGTGGGGTTGTGGAAATGTTGTGTTGGGTTGGAAATATGGATATAATGCCTGACAGGTGTGTGTGTGTGTGTGTGTCGCCTCAACCAATGTTGCAATTTTTTCCTTCTTACTCCACCTCTACCTCTCCTCTTCTCTCCTCCCTCTCCTCTCCCTCTCTCTCCTCTCTCCTCTCCTCTCCTCTCCTCTCTCCTCTCCTCTCCTCTCCTCCTCAGCAAGAAATATCACGACCAAGATGTAATCAGAAGCAGGTAAAAATACTGACAAATTGTGGGTAATTCTTTCGTTAAACGCCCCATTTTACTATTTTTCTGTCTGTATCTGTGTCTGTTTGTGTGTGTGTGTGTGTGTGTGTACGTTCTCTCTCTCTCTCTCTCTCTCTCTCTCTCTCTCTCTCTCTCTCTCTCTCTCTCTCTCTCTCTCTCTCTCTCTCTTTCTTACCTCACTGACATCCTGGTGTTGGGTGGTGGAGGAGTCATACTGTTGGAGGGGCAGTGTTGGAGATCGGAAGCTTTCGACACTGTTGGAGGAAACGTTGGAGATCAGTATTGTTGATGAAGTTATGTTGGAGGGGTAGTTTTGGTAGGGCAGTGTTGGAGATGTGTTGGAGGAGCATTGGAGGGATAGTGTAGGATGGGTAATGTTGGAGGGTGCAGTGTTGGAGGGGGCAGTGTTGGAGGAGGCAGTGTTGGAGGATGTAGTGTTGGAGGGGGCAGTGTTGGAGGAGGTAGTGTTGGAGGGTGCAGTGTTGGAGGAGGCAGTGTTGGAGGAGGCAGTGTTGGAGGAGGCAGTATTGGAAGAGCAATGTTGTTGATAATGACGGAGATGGTAAAAATAACACTAACAACCACAACAACAACCACCACAACAACAACACTCACAAGGTTGTAGGCCGCCTCGGTGTTCCATCTTCGCTCCCAACCATAAGGTCCTCACCACCCTCAGATACGCCACAGCCATCACCACTAAGGGCACCAATAGCAGCGTCGCCGTCAGAAGTATTGTAAAGGTCTTCTCTATGCCAAGACTCGGCCACACTTCCCTGCACTTGTGGCGACCTGGAGGAGGGAAGGGGGAGAATGGGGGGAGGAGGGAGGGAGGGAGGAAATAGTGTTATATAACCTTGTTGTGTGGAGGCAGGAGAGAGAGAGAGAGAGAGAGAGAGAGAGAGAGAGTGGTAGAATAGCTAGATAAAGAGAAATAAGAGAGAGAAAGACACACACAAACAAATCCTCATTACAGGAGAAAAAAACAGAAAAGAAAAAACACACAGACACACCTTCGTTAAGCGACTCGGGCACCAACCCTGTGTGTGTGTGTGTGTGTGTCTGTGTGTGTTATTATTGTGTGTGTGTGTGTGTGTGTGTGTGTGTGTGTGTGTGTGTGTGTGTGTGTGTGTGTGTGTGTCTTTCTTTCTCTGACTACCACGAGAAACGTCAACAAACACTCTGACGTCATTACCACTTTGTAAACACTCTGACGTCATTACCACTTTGTAAACACTCTGACGTCATTACCACTTTGTAAACACTCTGACGTCATTACCACTTTGTAAACACTCTGACGTCATTGCCACTTTGTAAACACTCTGACGTCATTACCACTTTGTAAACACTCTGACGTCATTACCACTTTGTAAACACTCTGACGTCATTACCACTTTGTAAACACTCTGACGTCATCTATTTGTCCTTCTGTGTATGTCTGTCTATTTATCTATCTATCTATCTATCTATCTACCCTTGAAGAAGCTTAGAAGATTCATACAGAGAGGAGGTAGATAGATAGATAGATAGACAGATAGATAGACAGACAGACAGACAGACAGACAGACAGACAGACAGACAGACAGACAGACAGACAGATAGGTAATTTTTTCATGGTGTATAATTGATAATAACTCGACCCCTGATTGGTTAATTATGACCAATAATATGAAAAAAATATCAATCATTAAGATTATGGTAATTATTTTATTTTTAAATCTCTGATGATATAATTAGTCATAAATATTAATTGATTGATCTGTTTAATGAATAATTTTGGTGGTGATTATTATGTAAATTATCGTTATTGTTGTTATTATTTTTATTATTTTTATTTTTATTATTGTTATTTAGTAATTATTTTTTACTTTTATTTAATTATATTTTATTTTGCTGTTTTTTAAAGAGTGATTTATTCCTATATACGTACATACATCTATACGTACACACATATCATCTATACGTACACAGCCTATATGCGTACAGACATATATACTTAAGCGTCTCCTCATTATCTCACACCATTATCTCTCACTCTATCTCTCACCTGGGTCTCCTCTAACGGGCATGAGGGTAGAGAGGGCGGCAATGGGCGTCATGATCAACAGAGAGGCCGCCCACACGCCCGCGATCACCCGGTAGCTGTGTGAGGGCGTCTGCCACCTGCGGGACCTGAGGGGCTCACAGATGGCGTAGTATCTCTCCAGGGAGATGGCCACCAGCGTCCAGACCGAGACAGAGACGGACACAGCTGTAGGAGAGAGAGAGAGAGAGAGAGAGAGAGAGAGAGAGAGAGAGAGAGAGAGGTGGTGATGTTGTATGGTAATAGGTTTTGGAGAGAGAGAGAGAGAGAGACAGGAGAGAGGGCACCAACACTCTCTCTCTCTCTCTCACACACACACACACACACACACATACACATCCCTTTAAAACCACCACCACCACCACATCACAAACAACTCAAGCCAATTCCACGCTAATTATTCAACTACTGCACCCATTGTTCCCTCCCTCTATTGTCCGTGCCACAAGGGGAAGTGAAGGGCCTTCCCAAAGACGCGTATAATGCTCTTAGAGGGATCTGACTGCATCTATCCATCCATCTATCCATCTATCTATCTATCTATCCACCCATCTATCCATCCATCTATCCATCTATCCACCCATCTATCCATCTATCCATCCATCTATCCATCTATTCATCAAGCCATTCATCCAAGCTCATACACCTTCAGAGCCACTTATATTCACCTGCCATCAACTATTAATTAATACCAATGTACCTTTGTTTATATATATCTGATGGTGAATTTTATTTCTATATATTTTAAGTTAGTTTGGTGGTGTTTGTGACCTTTGACCTTTTGACCTTTCGAACCTCTAATTTATAAGGGCGTAACTTACACGCACGCAACGCCTACACTCAACTTTCACTCACACACTTACACACGCACGTAACACTCACACACAGACACGCACACGCACGCACGCAACACTCACACACAGACACGCACACGCACGCACGCAACACTCACACACAACTTTCACCCACACATTTACACACGCACGCAACACACACACAACTTTCACTCACACACTTACACACACACACACACACACGCACGCAATAAACACTCCCAAACTCACACTCAAATTCACCCAGGGATTAAAAAAAATATATATTCCAAAATGCAGCAGCGAAATTCAATAAAGAATTTCTGGAATCTATCTGATGTGAAATTCCCCTAACTAGCAATTAAGGGGAAGGGATTCAATCAAGTTAAGGCATTGAGTAAGAGGATCTGACCACTTAACACAGTGGGGGGGGGGGTGATTTTCTGTCATTGTTTTTAGGAGGAAAAGGTAGAAAGGGTGATTGAGTGTTGTGGAATTTAATCTGTCTGTCTATTTGTCTGTCTATCTGTCCGTCTGTTTGTCTATCTGTCTATCTATCTGTCCGTCTGTCTACATAAATTAAAATACAGACATTAATAAGACAGATCGAAAAACTATATAAATTCCTAAATATATATATATATATATATATATATATATATATATATATATATATATATATATATATATATATATATATATATATATATATATATATATATATATATACTGTATATACGTCCAGTTTTGCCTTCAAAAAAACAACAAAAGAAAATCAAATAAAAACAAAACAGAGAACAAAAGAACACCAGTTTTTGTTTACATTCCCGAGAGAGGAAGGAGGTTCGCAGTATGGCCGCTACATCCCCCGTGGCGCTGTTGTGTGTTATTGGTCAGGTGTCGATGTACAACCGATCGAATTACTCTTCCTAGTCCCATTTTCCCTTGACACACACACACACATACTGTACACACACACACACACACACGCACACACACCTTCTCCCTGATACACATGCACATCTTGATACACCTTCCCCCTTACACACCTTCCCCCCTTACACACACCCTTCCCCCCTTACACACACCCTAACACCCCCACCCCCCTCCCTAACACACCTCTGCCACACACTCTAATTCCAACTTGGTACACACACTCACCTAACGCACTCTACCATACACTACCAACGTGAACAATTGGCATTATAAAGTCTGTCTGTGTGTGTCAGTCAGTCAGTCAGCCAGCCAGTCAGTCAGTCAGCCAGCCAGCCAGTCAGTCAGTCAGTCAGCCAGCCAGTCAGTCAGTCAGCCAGCCAGTCAGTCAGTCAGCCAGTCAGTCAGTCAGTCAGCCAGTCAGTCAGTTAGTCAGCCAGTCAGTCAGTTAGTCAGCCAGTCAGTCAGTTAGTTATTCCATCTCATTTTTATATCCAGGTCACAAAAACCAGAATTTATATATATATGTGCAACTTTTACTCCCCCATAACAAGACTATATCCGTGTTGTGTAGCCGTGTCGCTTTGTAATTTAAAATATGAAATAAATACGGGTTATATCTTTCTTTCTGTAACCATTTAAATGAAATAGATATGTGTGAAAAATATACAACCAAAATGTGACCTGGATTTATTTTATTTTGGGGGCCAGGGGTGGGGAGGGGAGGAGGGGAGGGGAGGGGGGGAGGGTGTTATTGTGTGACTCGTAAATGTGGTGTTGTGGTTCACTATAACGATGTTGGGGGGTTCACTATATTGGTGCTGGTGTTTGTTATAACGATGGTGTGATTCGAATATCATAAACGATCAAAATCACTGTCAATCACTATCAATAACCACTATCAAACACTAACCATCACACAGTCACCAACCATCAACCAAAATGACACACTAAATTATCAACCACAATCAACCACAGTCACCCACTCTCAATCACCACCAACAACCATCAACCAGCCACCACAATCACCCACAATCAACCAGCCACAACAATCAACCACAATCAACCACCTCCAACAAATATCACCCACAATCACCCGCAATCACCCACAATCAACCACAATCAACCACCAACTTACCCTGCATATAAGGGATCAGTCCACACATGAGAGCGCCGAACACGAAATCCTGCAGAAGGGATCCTACGAGCGTGAAGGGCATACAGAACACCCCCAGCAGGAGGTCCGATACTGCCTGTAGGAGGGGGAAGAAGGAGGAATTAGTGGTGAGGGAGAGGTGGAGAGAGGGAGAGGGACAGAGAGAGAGGGGGAGAGAGGGAGAGGGACAGAGAGAGAGGGGGAGAGATAGAGGTGGAGAGAGGAGAGGGACAGAGAGAGAGGGGGAGAGAGGGAGTCTTTTCTCTCTCTCTCTCTCTCTCTCTCTCTCTCTCTCTCTCTCTCTCTCTCTCTCTCACTCTCTCTCTTTCTCTCTCACTCACTCACTTAACACAGGTAATCTTGAGGTAATATTCAATGCATATATAATACCTTAAATATTTAATTAACTGGTCTGTTTTCACTTAGTTTTTCCGTCCAATTTTCTTCCAAGACGCCAGATTAATTTTGATCCTCAAGTCTATAGACAATGGGATTAAGTTGATTTAATGTAAGTAACGTTGTAAGTGTGTGTGTGTGTGTGTGTGTGTGTGTGGGTGTGTGTGGGTGTGGGTGTGGGTGTGTTAGTCAGTTATATTCCGGTATAAATTGTTTTCATTAAATACTTGACACTTGGTAAAGTTACTTGTCAGCCATCGTCCATCACACACACACACACACACACACACACACACACACACACACACACACATAAGAATCCTTGTTATGATAAGCCGTTCGCAGATTCACCTTATGATAAAGACTGATTCCTCATTCACGAACGCCAATGTATGTCTGTGTACACTAGAAATGGACGCGTCTAGGATATTCTCGGATACTGCCCAGGGCTTGGATTCATGCATATTTAGACACGCACACACACACACACACACACACACACACACGCGCACACACACACACACACACACACACACAGAATGAATTATATTATCAGTTCAATCTTAAGCAGCAAAAACGAAGAAGTGTAACCAAAACAGAAAAAAAACGAAACACGAAATTAATTCCAGTTTGTGTAAAAATGTTCTCAACAACGTGAAATAAAAAGACAAAGAATAACAAGAATAAGCAAGAGAAAAAACATGAATCCAAAACGAAAAAAAAAAAAACGGAAGAGACGAATTTCATGTCGAATTTATCTTAAAAAAAAAACGAATTTTGAAAAACTACCGAATTATGTAAAAAAACAATTCTATTATGTAAAACAAAAATCGATTAATGTAAAACAAAAACCGAATTACGAAAAACAAACAAAACAATCAGGATGCGTTTTCCAATTTCCAGACGTCGACCAGAATAACAAAATCACTTAATAACAGGATTCGAACCCACGTACTCTCGAAAAACAGACAAAACTCGACCATTTCTTCCCCCTAATGCCCAAAATATTGTGGTATATTGAGAGGAATGGTATTAGTAGTAGGAAGAGCAGCGTTTTTGGCACTTAATTTGCATAGTTGGGGGGAGGCGAACGTGACCAGCCATTTTGTGTGTGTTTATTTTGTCTACATTATAATGAAGGAGATATTTTCACGCTTATTCATTCACCAGATGGGAGTGTTGTTGTTGGTGGTGGTTGTTGTTGTTGGTGGTGGTGGTGGTTGTGGTTGTTGGTGGTGGTGGTGGTTGGTGGTGGTGGTTGTGGTGGTTGGTGGTGGTGGTGGTTGTTGTGTTTGTTGTTGTTATTGTAGTATTATTATTATTATTTATTATTATTATTATTATTATTATTATTATTATTAACTTAAATAACTTAATCCAATCAACTTTCAATCAACTAAAATTCATCTCAAACTCAACTCGTTCTGCCGCCAACCTAACCTAACCTAACCTAACCTAACCTAACCACCAGTTGAACCCTCTATTATAATACCTTAATAATATCTCTATCTCAACGGTGGGGAGAACTGGCTCTCCTTATCTCTCTCCATGAATAGATTATGTAAATAGTGAGGCTGGGTGAGTTGAGAGATAGTGGAGAATTAGTTTGGGGTTTCTCTCTATTTCTTTCTTTCTCTCTCTGTCTCTCTCTGTCTCTCTTTTTACGTCTTTCTGTGTCTTATTCTATCTATCTTTTTCTGTTGCCTTTTATCTGTGACTCTCTCTCTCTCTCTCTCTTCTCTTTTTATTTCTCATTCACTTTCTCTCTGTGTCTGTCTCTCTCTGTCTGTCTGTCTCTCTTTGTGTGTGTCTATGTCTATCTATCTGTACATCTCTCTCTGTCTCTCTCTCACCTGTCTCCCTCTGTCTCTCTGTCTCCTCTGTCTCTCTCTCTGTATCCCTCTGTCTCTCTCTCTGTCTCCCTCTGTCTCTCTCTCTGTCTCCCTCTGTCTCTCTCTCTCTGTCTGCCTCTGTCTCTCTCTCTCTGTCTGCCTGTCTCCCGTGAAGGTGTTTGATGTTACAAGCTTCCCTCAGCGCTACTAGACGCTCAACACGTGTCTTGCAGGGTAAGGTAAGCAGCGAGGATGAGCCTGACTGAATGTATACATGTTCATACAGGTATACATACACGTGAGAGATGCAGAGATACCTACACATAACCCTCCCACACATAGGGATACTTACATATACACTAATACAATATGCATACTGGTTGAATGTATATATTATAATACATGCATGGTCATAAAGGTATACATACACGTGAAGGATATACATAAATACGTACACACAATTTTCTCACACATAGATATACTTACATGCAGATATATACACTGACAATGCCAATTCATGTATACATATGTACACCCAACCCTACACACACAGGTACACACACACACAGGTAAACACACACACAGTACACACACAGGTACGCACACACACACACACACACACACACACACACAACTAACCATTCTGTCCTCAACACACAAAATTTCTCCCCAACAACCAACACAACTAATGCAATATAAATCTTTTAACTCACTTGAGATTCAGTAACAGAACTCTCGGAGGCAGAAATACACACACACACACACACACACACACACACACACACACACACACACACACACACACACACACACCAACACTAACACTCACCAAGTTGAGGAGGAAGACATTAGTCACGGTGCGGAGGTTACGGTGATGGAGAAGAGTCACCACCACCAACATTCCCCACCACCCCACCACGAAGATGAGGGAGAAGCCGACAATCCTGACCCTCCTCGCCACCAGAGAGGATCCTGAAGAAGGCTTACTGACGTCTTCTCCTCCTGCAGTTGTGAGACATTGTGTTTGATCTGAAGAAGAGGAGGTATTGGTGGTGATGTTTGGGTCGAGACAGAGGTTCAGGAGTGTGGAGAGGTTGTAGGTTGTGTCTGTGAGGTTGTGAGATGGTTGTGAGAGGTAGAGGAGTGAGGAGAGGTTGTAGGACATCTCTGTGAGGTTGTGAGATGGTTGTGAGAGGTAGAGGGAGTGAGGAGGGTTGTAGGACATCTCTGTGAGGTTGTAGGATGGTTGAGAGGTAGAGGGGTGAGGAGAGGTTGTAGGGTGGTTCTGTGAGGTTGTGAGATGGTTGTGAGAGAGGTAGAGGAGTGAGGAGAGGTTGTAGGGTGGTTCTGTGAGGTTGTGAGATGGTTGTGAGAGGTAGAGGGTGAGGAGAGGTTGTAGGTTGTGTCTGTGAGGGGTTGTGAGATGGTTGTGAGAGGTAGAGGAGTGAGGAGAGGTTGTAGGACATCTCTGTGAGGTTGTGAGATGGTTGTGAGAGGTGGGGGTGAGGAGAGGTTGTAGGGTGGTTCTGTGAGGTTGTGAGATGGTTGTGAGAGGTAGAGGAGTGAGGAGAGGTTGTAGGGTGGTTCTGTGAGGTTGTAGGACATCTCTGTGAGGTTGTAGGACATCTCTGTGAGGTTGTAGGACATCTCTGTGAGGTTGTAGGACATCTCTGTGAGGTTGTAGGACATCTCTGTGAGGTTGTAGGACATCTCTGTGAGGTTGTAGGACATCTCTGTGAGGTTATGGGTCTCCTCTGAGGGTGGTGGGTATCCTGAAGGACTTGCCAAGGATGAAGTATTGACCAGGATGAGGGAAAGAGACAGGATAGGTGAAGCATTGATACGTTTATTACTACCAGGAGTCCCAGCATTGTTTTGGTGTGGTGATTCATTGTTCCTCTCTTCCTCCAGATTGTTGTTGTGGTTGGGATTGTTGTTGTTGTTGTGGCAGGAGTTGTTGTTGTTGTTGGTGGTTGTGATGGTGTTGTTGTTTTTGTTGGTGATGGTGGTGATGGTGGTGGTGTTGTTGTTGGTGGTGGTGGTGTTGGGGTTGTTGTTGTTGTTGGTGGTGGTGGTGTTGGGGTTGTTGTAGTTGTTGGTGGTGGTGGTGTTGGGGTTGTTGTTGTTGTTGGTGGTGGTGGTGTTGGGGTTGTTGTTGTTGTTGGTGGTGGTGGTGTTGGGGTTGTTGTTGTTGTTGGTTGGTGGTGTTGGGGTTGTTGTTGTTGTTGGTGGTGGTGGTGTTGGGGTTGTTGTAGTTGTTGGTGGTGGTGGTGTTGGGGTTGTTGTTGTTGGTGGTGGTGGTGTTGGGGTTGTTGTTGTTGGTGGTGGTGGTGTTGGGGTTGTTGTTGTTGTTGGTGGTGGTGGTGTTGGGGTTGTTGTTGTTGGTGGTGGTGGTGGTGTTGGGGTTGTTGTTGTTGGTGGTGGTGGTGTTGGGGTTGTTGTTGTTGTTGGTGGTGGTGGTGTTGGGGTTGTTGTTGTTGGTGGTGGTGGTGGTTGTTGGGGTTGTTGTTGTTGGTGGTGGTGGTGTTGGGGTTGTTGTTGTTGTTGGTGGTGGTGGTGTTGGGTTGTTGTAGTTGTTGGTGGTGGTGGTTTTGGGGTTGTTGTTGTTGTTGGTGGTGGTGGTGTTGGGGTTGTTGGTGGTGGTGGTTTTGGGGTTGTTGTTGTTGTTGGTGGTGGTGGTGTTGGGGTTGTTGTTGTTGTTGTTGGTGGTGTTGGGGTTGTTGTTGTTGGTGGTGGTGGTGTTGGGGTTGTTGTTGTTGTTGGTGGTGGTGGTGTTGGGGTTGTTGTTGTTGGTGGTGGTGGTAGTGTTGGGGTTGTTGTTGTTGTTGGTGGTGGTGGTGTTGGGGTTGTTGTTGTTGGTGGTGGTGGTGTTGGGGTTATTTTGGATTTGTTGGTGGTGGTGGTGTTGGGTTGTTGTTTAGTGGTGGTGGTGTTGGGTGTTGTAGTTGTTGGTGGTGGTGGTGTTGGGGTTGTTGTTGTTGTTGGTGGTGGTGGTGGGGTTGTTGTTGTTGGTGGTGGTGGTGGTGTTGGGGTTGTTGTTGTTGGTGGTGGTGGTGTTGGGGTTGTTGTTGTTGTTGGTGGTGGTGGTGTTGGGGTTGTTGTAGTTGTTGGTGGTGGTGGTGTTGGGGTTGTTGTTGTTGTTGGTGGTGGTGGTGTTGGGGGTTGTTGTTGTTGGTGGTGGTGGTGTTGGGGTTGTTGTTGTTGTTGGTGGTGGTGGTGTTGGGGTTGTTGTTGTTGTTGGTGGTGGTGGTGTTGGGGTTGTTGTTGTTGTTGGTGGTGGTGGTGTTGGGGTTGTTGTAGTTGTTGGTGGTGGTGGTGTTGGGGTTGTTGTTGTTGGTGGTGGTGGTGTTGGGGTTGTTGTTGTTGGTGGTGGTGGTGTTGGGGTTGTTGTAGTTGTTGGTGGTGGTGGTGTTGGGGTTGTTGTTGTTGTTGTTTTTCTGGTTGAGGTTGTGAATGTTTTTGCAGATGTTGTTGTGTTTGTTGTTGTTGCAATCAAGTTGGAGCTCCCCGAGGCAGTTTGATGAATGGTTGCAGCTGGGTGTCTCGTGTTGGCCTGACGGTGAAATGTTGATAGTGGTGGTAATAGGTAATGTTGTCAACTTCCTTTTGATGATGGAAATGTTGGCAGCAGACTTGAAGGCTTCGAAGATGGATGATTCTTCTTGTTGGGTGAGGTGAGATGCTGGGTGGATGAAGAAGTGTCTCTCTGGCGGGTGAACTGATATCTTCGTGTTGACAATCTCTCTTCCTCCTGCGGTTCTTGTCTCATTCGGAGGAACTTGGGACTGGTCACCTGGAGAGTTTATGTCTCCTAGATTGGAAACAGAGGATTGACTGCCTGACCCTGGCCCTGGCCCTGGCCCTGACCCTGACCCTGGCCCTGACCCTGACCCTGATCCTGACCCTGATCTACTCCCTCCTGCAGACATAATTGTTTACTCCTGTTGGTCGATGAGGGTCCTGGATGTTGGGTGGATGTAAGGCGCCCTTGGATGCTGTTTCCTACCGTATCATACATCCGTTGAGAGATGGATGAGGGATCTGGATGTTGGGTGGATGTAAGGCGTCTCTGGATACCGTCCCAGGTGTTGATTGAAACTGCCGCCCTGAGATGAAAGATCGAGGAATCTTTCCCTAGGAACGTGGGGGCGACGCTGAGATCCTTTATGAGCTGCAACCGTGAGGAACCATCTGTAGAAGGGGCTGACGGGATGGACGATGACAGCGGAGAGGGAGGATAGAGAGGGACGTCGGGAGAGAGTCGTAGTGATGGGGGTACAATAGGTGGATAGGAGGATGAGGATGGGGATGAGAGGTGTTGTGTAGGCGTCGAATGGTCACGGGGTGCCTGGGGGGTGAGAGGGCTGTGGCCGCTGACGCAAAGGACCGCGGGAAGGAGGAGGAGGAGGAGGTCTTTCTTTGGAGTTTCAAGGAGGAGGAGGAAGCGAAGGAGGAGGTTGGAAAGCTTTCTTGTGTTGGCGATGGTGACGTCACTGGTCTGGGAGAATGGAGTGACGTGGTGATTGTAGATTTAGCCAATGGCGTCGTCAGTGTAGGGCGAGGTAGTGACGTCACGACTGTAGACTCAGCCAATGGCGTCGCGAGTGTAGAATAAGGAAGTGACGTCACAAAGAGGAAAGATGGCGGATTCAGAGCGCACAACGTAAAGCAAAATTTCATAAACACGAAACGATACATTATTTTCACTTATCAATATTCTAAATAAATTCCCGGTTTAGTTAATTGTCCTTATAATAATTACATTCCTACGAAAAAGTTTACAAACAACTTTCTTAATATCAAAACCGAAAATTTTATCAAAATAGTTTATAGTCAAACCAATTTTCCCCAATATATATTTAAACTTTGGCCTCAAGAAATGCAGATTTTTTTACCTTTCAAAGTTTATTATTAATTTTACTGGAAAGAAAATATTCGTATGGTAACTTTCCCTGCAAACTTTCTTTCACCTTATTATAAACTTTGATAATATGTTAGATTACTTTCTCTAAGGGTTTATTTTGAGATAATTCATTACTAATCTCGTGTGTGTGTCTCGCTGTCTCGTTATCTCTGAGCTAAGTGAACCATCTTGGGTTTCATTGACACTAGGGTTCATTGCACAGGTTCGATTTGGTGGCTCGAAGTCAAAAAGTGAACCATTTTAGGTTTTCTTGAAGATTGGTTCATTGGAGGTTCAATCTGGTGGTTCAAAGTCTACAAGTGAACCGTTTTGAGTTTCATTGACTCTCGGTTTCATTACAGAGGTTCAATTTGGTGGTTCAAAGTCTCTAAGTTGGGTTCATCATTATTTCACTTGGAGATTGGTTCATTCTTGTGGTTCGAAGTGTCTTAAGTGAACCTTTGAAGGGTTCATTTGGCTATTTTGTTCATGGTTTGTTCTGTGGAGGAGAGAGAGTTATTATTATTATTATTATTATTATTATTATTATTATGTGTGTGTGTGGTGTTGAACAAATTGTGATGATGATGAAAATAATGATGATGATGATGATGATAATGATGATATTGATGATAATAATGACAGATGCTGATAAAGAAGAAGAATAAGAAAAACCTCACCACACAACCCCCCGCACCCCCACCCCACACTCCCCCCCACACACCTAACCTCCCCCACACAACCCCACACATACACACACGCCATATTAGTGTATTTCAGTAATTAATCACACAGATTAAACCATGTTGGGGCGGCAGAATAATATGGCTAATTTAATGTAATTTTTGTTGGTCCTTTTTCGAAAACTTTTACGTGAAATGATAAAATTCCTATAATGACAGGGGTGATGTTAGGAAGGTGGTGGGGTGTAGTGTGTGTCTGTGTCTGTCTGTGTGTGTGTGTCTGTGTGTCTGTCTGTGTGTGTGTGTGTCTGTGTCTGTCTGTGTGTGTGTGTGTCTGTGTCTGTGTGTGTGTGTGTGTCTGTGTGTGTGTGTCTGTGTCTGTCTGTGTGTGTGTGTGTCTGTGGCTGTCTGTGTGTGTGTGTGTCTGTGTCTGTCTGTGTGTGTGTCTGTGTCTCTGTGTGTGTCGGTCTGTCTGTCTGTGTGTGTGTGTCTGTGTCTCTGTGTGTGTGTCTGTGTCTGTCTGTGTGTGTGTGTGTCTGTGTCTGTCTGTGTGTGTGTGTGTCTGTCTGTGTGTGTGTGTGTGTCTGCTGTCTGTGTGTGTGTGTCTGTGTCTGTCTGTGTGTGTGTGTGTCTGTGTCTCTGTCTGTGTGTGTGTCTGTGTCTGTCTGTGTGTGTCTGTGTCTGTCTGTGTGTGTGTCGGTCTGTGTCTGTCTGTGTGTGTGTGTGTCTGTGTCTGTCTGTGTGTGTGTGTGTCTGTGTCTGTCTGTGTGTGTGTGTGTCTGTGTCTGTCTGTGTGTGTGTGTGTCTGTGTCTGTCTGTGTGTGTGTGTGTGGCTGTCTGTGTGTGTGTGTCTGTGTGTCTGTGTGTGTGTGTGTCTGTGTCTGTCTGTGTGTGTGTGTCTGTGTCTGTCTGTGTGTGTGTGTCTGTGTCTGTCTGTGTGTGTGTCTGTGTCTGTCTGTGTGTGTGTCTGTGTCTGTCTGTGTGTGTGTGTGTCTGTGTCTGTCTGTGTGTGTGTCTGTGTCTGTCTGTGTGTGTGTGTGTCTGTGTCTGTCTGTGTGTGTGTGTGTGTCTGTGTCTGTCTGTGTGTGTGTGTGTCTGTCTGCGTGTATGTCGGTCTGTGTGTCTGTGTGTGTGTGTGTCTGTGT